GAATGTAAAACCACTATATAAGCTATGTGATCTATGGACAAGGAAATATTAACTACTAATTCACCACAGGCTATTAGAAGTAGACCTGCTGATAATGCTTTCATTAAAATCTTTATGGTTGCTCTTTATAACATATAAGAAATATTAAATGTACCACCAACACTTACCTATCAGATACTAAGGGATAGAGCTTAAGTGATATTCTCAGTGAAATATGAGATACCTTGGTACCTGGTGCAATGACCATGCTTATGCTAAAGGAATACATAAGGTAACATTTTAAAGATTTAATGATGATCCACCGTTTCAGAACAAGCAACCAAAAACTTTTAAACAAATCTAAAAGTCAAATTTGGCATAGGCTTTGAAACCAGTGCATTCAATTTTGTTTTAATTTTTCTTTGTGAGGTGGAACTCATGGTGATTTTAATCCCAAAAGCTTTACAATGTTACACTATTCTGTGAGAGTTCTCAAATGAATATTTTGACTGCGTGTGGAAAGTTTCAGTTTCCAGTCAGTACCTGTATTAAAAGCTCTTTCCTCTTACTTATTGTACTTTTGTGTTTCTTGTCCTTTACTTCATTTTGATATTTAAGGATCTGAAACAGCCCTGATTCTGGGCAGCAGCAGAAGGACCGGTGGTAAAAAGAGTGACTTCATTTAAAATTTCTGCATATATGTAAAAGTGAATTGTGCAATTTGCCACTACTATGGATTTGAAAACTTCCTGCACTCAAAAAAGGAGCTACTTGTCTTATTTGATATATGCCTCTGTCTCATGAAAGTATAATCTAGCACAAAGATTGATTTTTTTTTTAAACATAATTTTTAGGGAATTCAAGTTGTGAGAAATTATGATAGCATGCTGCCTTCAAAACGTTTCAGAAGTGAGAAGGATAGATATAAGTTTACTTTCCCAGCTCTATTTAAATTTGAGAGGGAAGGTGTGATGTGACTAACAATGTGGAATCAAGAGATCATGAGTCAACTCAGCTTAGTTTAACACTGCCGAAGACTTATAACAAGGTTCTTAGACCTAGGATAAGATGCCACAGTAATTAAGAAGGCTGGCTGGCTTTGACAGCTAAGGTACTTCCATGTAAAAGAAGTATGCAAATATTTTATAGCAAGATGCCAATATTATCAGAAATTTATATTGCAGACAAGAGGAGAAATTGGGAGGGAAGGCCTTTGGCATGCATGGATACATAAGCAACTCAGACAGGCCCTTTAGAATAAGCAGAGGATTTACAAGCAACAGAGAAAAGGACTCATCAGTAAGGAGAGAGATTTTGTCTGTGATCGAAGAATAGAGGAATAAAGTGAGAATGGCCAAGGTTTAGATAAGTTAGATATTGAGAAGAATATTGGAATGCATAGCAAAACTTCAACGATCATACAAAGAGAAACAGAAGGGAAGAACTGGTGCTGTTGGATTTTTCCAATTTATAAATGCTGTTGTCCTTTGGAGGCCAAGAGGAAGAGGGCTTGCCTCCCCCTGAAGCATTGGAGACTGACCACAGCTAATGGTGGGATTTTGATTCAAGTGCCCTGGTGCTCTCACCAATACTTAGAACTGAGAGGTTTTGGGCTAAAAGGCCTTCTTGCTTTTTTGTTTGGGGTCATACTGATGACCAGACTTGGGGCCAAAAACAAATTTTTCCTCTAGATCAGACTGGCAAGACTAGAAGTTTTTGCTTTGCTTTACAGCAGAGAGTACCACAAACCCATCTATGGGGTACCCCTGTAGTCCCAAGTCTGTCCCCACTATCCTGCTGCTTGTCCCAAGGAACGTTTGCCCCAGGATAACTCTACAAGCCTCAGTTCTGCTGCCCTCATGCTGCACCCCACAGCTGCAGCAAAGGAATCTCTCTGGTCACCCCAAATAGTTTGTTTGGGTTGTGAAAGAAATTTAGGTCCCCCTTTCCACAGACTGTGCTAGTCTGGAATATTACTTGCCTTCACATACTTTACCACAGGCAAGCAGTAAAATAACAAACAATAAAAGGATTTATTATATAGGAGAAATGAATTGTACAAGAATAACTGACCATATAGTTTGAAGAGAGAACAAAATGACAAGTAGTTTCTCATCCTCATCTGGCTACAACCTAATCCTTCAGAGTCTTGCCAGTATTTTCAGCGATCCCCCTTCCGGCTGATCCTGCCAGCCCTGACCACTGGGTACTTAAGACTCTCACAGAGTCTGGAATAATTCAAAGACCATGACTCTCTCATAGATTACCTCTAAATACCTCCAAGCTAGCCCTATCCCAATTGTGGGTGAGTCTCAGAATCCTCTAGACATTTCTTTTCTTCCTGGAGCATCTGGATTTCCTCTACCTATTTCTCTGGGACTCTTCCACTGTTGTGGGGTTGATTTTCCCATTACAGGAAGGCAATCCCTTGGCTGCCCATCCCAACAATAGCCTCTTCTGCCTGTGTTTAGGACTGGCAGTTGTTCATGTCCTAGTAATACAATGGCAAGAGATACATAGCAGTTTTGTCTCCGCCCTTTTTCTTAGGTATGCATTCCTCAGTTTCTTTCACTAAACCATGAAATCATAAAAATACATATGGGCAGCATAACATAATCCACACAATGATAAAAATGACAAATTAATACGGTATAAAATTTGTTTTTTTAATGAGATTCCACAAACCAGATCAGTAAAACAAAATTAAAAAAGCATGCACGACACTCCACAAACACCTCAAAATATTGTGAGGTTCCTGATACGTAGGATTCCATCCTTTTCCTGCAAACCTCTGTGCATATATCAACTGTCCAGCTTCTGTGAAGCCATGGGCTGCATGTCGCATGACTCCAGAACCAAGTTCCCCCCCTGCCACACATGTAGCCTTCCCTTCCCCTTGACCCAGGTGCTATGCTGGAGGACTGATTGGAGACCTGCAGACCCCAGCTGCCACTGCTGTGACAGGAAAGCAAGGGGAGCAGAGGACGGTGGAAGAAGGCAGCTGGGTTGGCTGTAGTTGGACAGCCCTGTATTAAACAATGATATCTGTGCTACTGCAGTGTCAGGGCATTAATAGTAATCTTGTCTCCCCAACTTTTACTTGTGGGATACTATATGCCAGTGGAGACAGAACTTTTTTGGCAAGCATGCCACAAATAAGCTCCACACCTTCCCAAATGCTACTCCAACCCCCTTCTTCTGCATCTTCTGCTGCTCTGTTTTCTGCTCCCAGCCCAATTTGCTGCTGTTTTCTGCTTCCTCCCTTATCTGGCACTGTGCTAGGTATCCCCTTCCCAATCTGCCATGTGCCACACACACAGGCTACTGATGCCACATGTTGGCC